GATTTGGGGTCCAAGAAGGACTTTTGAGGTTCAGTGAGGATTTTTGGGATTTCTCGAGGATTTTTGGGGTTCAATGAGGACTTTGGGAGGGTTCAACAAAGATTTGGGGTCCAAGAAGGACTTTTGGGGTTCTTTGAGGATTTCGGGGGTCCAGGAAGGATTTTTGGGGTTCAATGAGGATTTTTGGCGTTCAGTGAGGATTTTTGGGATTTCTTGAGGACTTTGAGAGTTTAGTGAGGATTTTGGGGGGGGTTCAATGAAGAATTGAGGTCCAAGAAAGACTTTTGGGATTTCTTGATGATTTTGGGGTTCAGTGAGGATATCTGGGGTTCCTTGAAGACTTTTGGGATTTAATGAGAATTTTAAAGGATTCAATGAAGATTTGGGGTCCAAGAAGAACTTTTGGGATTTTTTGATGATTTTGGGGGGTTTCTTGAGGACTTTTGGGACTCAAGAAAGGCTTGTTGGGTTCAATGAGGTCTTTTGGGGTTCAGTGAGGATTTTTGGGGTTTCTTGAGGATTTTGAGGGTTTAGTGAGGATTTTGGGGAGGTTCAATAAACATTTGGGGTCCAAGAAGGACTTTTGGGGTCCAGGAAGGGTTTTTGGGGTTCAATGAGGATTTTTGGGTTCAGTGACGATTTTTGGGGTCCAAGAGGGACTTTTGGGGTTCAGTGAGGATATTTTTGGGTTTTCTTGAGGACTTTTTGGGGTTCAGTGAGGATTTTGGGAGGGTTCAATGAAGATTTGGGGTCCAAGAAGGATTTGGTGGGGTTTAAGAAGGACTTTTGGTGTTCAATGAGAATTTTTAGGGTTCCTTGAGGATTTTTGGGGTTCCTTAAGGATTTTTCGGGTTTCTCAAGGATTTTTGGGGTTCAATGAGAATTTTGAAGGGTTCAACAAAGATTTGGGGTCCAAGAAGGACTTTTGGGGTTTAGTGAAGCTTTTGGGGTTCAATGAAGATTTTTGGGATTCCTTGAGGACTTTTGGGATTTCTTGACAATTTTGGGGTCCACTGAGGATTTTTGGGATTTCCCAAGGACGCCAAGGCAACACCCAAAGGAAAGGGACCGGAAAAGCGGGAAAACAACACCAGCACCCCATTTTCCCCATCCCGATCCCGATCCCGATCCCGATCCTGACCCCAATCCCAATCCTGATCCCGATCCCGATCCCGATCCCGACCCCGATCCCAATCCCGATCCCGATCCCGATCCCGATGGGAATTCCCGGTCACCTGTAGTGCAGGAGCTGCCCCTCGGCACTGTAATCCCGGTAAATGTCGTATTCCTTCTCAAAAACTCCGGAGGGCGACGAACTGCAAAACGCCGGCGGCACAAACGGGGTTAACGGCGGCGGGATCGCGTTTTCCCCAAAAAACATCGCGTTTTACCCCAAAACAATGTATTTTCCCCCCAAAAAATCTGTGTTTTCCCCAAAAACCCGTGTTTTCCCAAAAAACCCCGTGTTTTTCCCCAAAACAAGGCGTTTTCCCCAAAAACACTGTGTTTTCCCCCAAAGCACTGTGTTTTCCCCAAAAAGCACTGCATTTTGTCCCAAAACAATGTGTTTTCCCCCAAAAACAGTGTTTACTCCCAAAAGAACATATTTTCCCCCAAAACCACTGCGTTTTTCCCCAAAACACCATGTTTTCCCCAAAAAAACGGTGTTTTCCAAAAAAACCCCGTGTTTTCCCCCAAAACACCGCGTTTTCCCCCAAAACCACCGCATTTTCCCCCAAAACACTGCGTTTTCCCCCCAAACACTGCATTTTCAAAAAAAACCACCGAGTTTTCTCCAAAACACCACATTTCCCCACAAAACAATGCATTTTCCCCCAAAACTACTGCATTTTCCCCAAATCATGGTATTTTCCCCTAAAAACATTGCATTTTCCCCCAAAACAATGTATTTTCCTCCAAAACACCGCATTTTCTCCAAAAAACACTGTATTTTCTCTCGAAACAATGTGTTTTCCCCCAAAACACAGTCTTTTCCCCAAAAAACCCGTGTTTTCCCAAAATACACTGTGTTTTCCCCCAAAGCACTGTGTTTTCCCCAAAAAACACTGCATTTTCTCTCAAAACAACGTATTTTCCCCAGAAAACCTGTGTTTTCCCGAAAAAACATGTATTTTCCCCAAAAACATTGTGCTATCCCCCAAAACAAGGCATTTTCCCAAAAACACCACATTTTCCCTCAAAACAATGGGTTTTCCCTCCAAACACCGTGTTTTCAAAAAAAACCACTGAGTTTTCTCCAAAACACCACATTTTCCCACAAAACGACGCATTTTTTCCCCAAAACCACTGCGTTTTCCCCCAAAACACCGCGTTTTCCCCCAAAACCCGTGTTTTCCCCAAAAAAACCCATGTTTTCCCTCAAAACAATGGGTTTTCCCTCCAAACACCGTGTTTTCAAAAAAAACCACTGAGTTTTCTCCAAAACACCACATTTTCCCCCAAAACAACACATTTTCCCCCAAAAAACCCGTGTTTTCCCCAAAACTCCGCATTTTCCCCAAAAAACATCTCGTTTTCCCCCAAAACAACACGTTTTCCCCAAAAAACCCATTTTTTTCCCCAAAAAACACTGCATTTTCCCCAAAAACACCGCATTTCCCCCAAAACACCACGTTTTCTCCCAAAACAACGCGTTTTCCCCAAAAAACATCGCATTTTCCCCAAAAAACCCGTGTTTTCCCCCAAAAACCCGTGGTTTTCCCCAAAACTCCGCATTTTCCCCAAAAACACCGCATTTCCCCCAAAACACCATGTTTTCTCCCAAAACAATGCGTTTTCCCCAAAAAACATCGCATTTTCCCAAAAAAACCTGTGTTTTCCAAAAAAACCCTTGTTTTCCCCCAAAACACTGCGTTTTCCCCAAAAACACCGCATTTTCCCTCAAAACAATGCGTTTTCCCCCAAACACCGTGTTTTCCAAAAAAAACCACCGAGTTTTCTCCAAAACACCACATTTTCCCCCAAAACCACTGCATTTTCCCCAAAAAACATTGCATTTTCCCCCAAAACACTGTTTTCCTCCAAAACACTGTGTTTTTCCCCAAAACACCACGTTTTCCCTCAAAACAATGCGTTTTCCCCAAAAACACCACGTTTTCCCCCCAAAAGCCACATTTTTCCTAAAACCACATTTTTTTCTAAAACCACCACATTTTCCCCCAAAACAGCACATTTCCCCCTAAAATTCCATATTTTCCCCCCAAAACCCACATTTTTCCCCAAACACCACATTTTCCCTCAAAACCACATTCTCCCCCCCAAAAACCGTATTTTCCATCAAAACACCACATTTTCCCTGAAAACATCACATTTTCCCTCAAAACACCGCATTTTCCCCTAAAACGCCGCATTTTTGCCTAATATGCCACGTTTTCCCTGAAATCATCAAATTTTCCCCTAAATTCCATGTTTTCTCTCAAAACACCACAGTCATCCCCAAAACGGCTGTTTTTTCCTCAAAACCACCACATTTTACCTCAAAACACCACATTTTCCCTCAAAACACCACATTTTCTCTAAAAACATCAAACTTCCCCACAAAACAGTACATTTTCTCTTAAAAGACCACATTTTACCCTAAAACACCACATTTTACCTAAAAAAAAAATTCTGTTAAAACATTGCATTTCCCCCCCAAGCACCACATTTTCTTTCTTAAATCAACCCCATTTTCCCTTAAAACACATTTTTTTTTTCTAAAACTACCACATTTTTCCCTAAAATTCCACGTGTACCCTCAAAACCCCACCTTTTTCCCAAAACACCATATTTTCCCAAAAAACACCACATTTTTTGTTAAAACACGTTTTTCCTTAAAACCACTACATTTTCCTTAAAAACATCACATTTTCCCTTAAAACACCACATTTTCCCTCAAAACATCACATTTTCCCCTAAAAAATAACATTTTCCCTTAAACACCACATTTTCCCTAAAACCACCACTTTTCCCCCTAAAACAATATTTTCCCTTAAAACATCACATTTTCTCCAAACTCACCACATTTTCCAATAATAAACATGATTTTCCAATAAAAAAGGTAATTTTCCATTAATAAAGTAAATTTTACATTAATGAAGGCTATTTTCCAATAATAAAGGAAATTTTCCATTAATAAAGTTAATTTTCTAATAATAAATGCTATTTTGCAATGAAAAATTGATTTTCCATTAATAAATTATTTTTCCAATAATAAAGCTGATTTTCCATCAATAAAGTTAATTTTCCAATAATAAAGGTCATTTTGCAGTGCGAAGTTGATTTTCCATTAATAAATTATTTTTCCATTAATAAAGGTGATTTTCCACTAATAAATGTGATTTTCTAATAATAAAGGAAATTTTCCATTAATAAAGTTAATTTTCTAATAATAAATGTGATTTTCCAATAAAAAATTGGTTTTCCATTAATAAATTATTTTTGCAATAATAAAGGTGATTTTCCATTAATAAAGCTGATTTTCCATTAAAAAAATAAATTTTCCACTAATGAAGGTTATTTTTCCTATAATAAAGTTATTTTTCCAATAATAAAGGTGATTTCCCAATAAAAAAAATGGTTTTCCACTAATGAAGGAAATTTTCCATTAATAAAGTTAATTTTCTATTAATAAAGCTAATTTTCCATTAATAAAGGTGATTTCCCAATTTAAAAAATGATTTTCCATTAATAAAGATAATTTTCCAATAATAAATGTGATTTTCCAATCAAAAGTTGATTTTCCATTAATAAATTATTTTTCAGATAATAAAGGTGATTTTCCAATAACAAAGATGATTTTCTGGTAACTATTTTCCATTAATAAAGCTAATTTTCCATTAATAAATGTGATTTTCCAATAAAAAAATTGATTTTCCATTATTAAATTATTTTTCCATTAATAAAGGAGATTTTCCAATAGAAAAGTGATTTTCCATTAATAAAGTTGATTTTCCATTAATAAAATTAATTTTCCATTAATAAAATTAATTTTTTAATAATAAATGTGATTTTCCAATAAAAATGAGGTTTTCCATTAATAAAGTTGATTTTCCAATAATAAAATTAATTTTCCATTGATAAATCTAATTTTCCTTTAATAAAGGTGATTTTCCAATAAAAAATTTATTTTCCATTAATAAATTTTTTTTCCAACAATAAAGGTGATTTTCCATTATTAAAGTTAATTTTCTGATATAAAAGATGATTTTCCATCAATAAAATTAATTTTCCACTAATAAAGGCAATTTTCCAACAATAAACACGATTTCCCACTCAAAAACCTAATTTCCCATTAATTTCCTATTAATAAACAATTAATAAACAATTCCCTATTAATAAACTCAATTTTCCCTCAACAATTCTCCCCTAAAAAAAAAA